CCCCCCCCCGAGTACAGGACAGGCACGTCTTCCGGGGCCCTGCAGGGCCGTCCGGGACGGGGAAGATGTGTGCCGTCCGTCCTCTGCCCTGCACTTCTTTGTTCTGTTTTACCTTCTTCTTAGTTGGTATCGTCATCCACAAGAGGATATTGGTTTCAGGTGACTGATGTTTGCAAACCTTGGGAAGTGATCCCCACAATGTCTCATTACCTCCGTCACCTCCTGACAAACACTCTTTTCTTGCGATGAGAATGTTCAAGATGTACTGTCCAAGTGACCCCCCCAAACGCAACATGGTTTTGTGAACCGCGAAGACTACCCATCACGCCCTACTGCCCCCCTCCCTGGTCAGTCCTTTGCTTGATCCTGGCTATGAACTGGCAGTGCTTTCACAAGGGAGTGGAATCACCCACCTTATCAGGAACTTTTCTAGGTTTTAAAACGTGACCCTGATGCGGTGGCTGTCCAGCCTGGCGCCCCTCCAAGTCGGAAGCCCCATGGCGGCTGGGCGGGCACCAGCCTCTCCTCCCCGACGGCTCCTCCCACTGCCTCCTTTAAAGCGGGGCCGGGGCCACTGGCCACCATCCACCACGGCCTGCCACTGGCCACCATGCGCTGTCTTGCCAGCCTGGCCCTGGTCCTGCTCGCCCTGGAGGCTGCCGTGGCCCTGGCCGCAGCCCCGGCCTTCACTGTGCCAGGTAGGCCTCAGCTACCGCCACAGGGGGCACCCAGGAGGGCCCTCTGACCTCCCTGTCTCCGAGGCGCTTCCCTGACACGCACCAGGACGGCACCAGGACCGGAGGAGCAGAGCAGAGGAGGCAGAAGAGCAGGGCAGGGCCCTGCCCGGAGACCCCCATGCGGCAGGGCCCAGGCCACTGTGAGACAGCTAGCTGAGCGTGGGGGGGCCTGTCCTTGGCCCCCTGGGTCTTAACCCCACCTGCTGTCGTGGGCCTGGGGCAGGCATGTCACGCTCTAGCAGATTCTTTTCCTTACAAGAAACGGTGTGTCAGGGTGCTAGGTTCCTATCCTGGGAGCAGTGCCCACCCACCTGCCTGTCCCGTGCGCAGGGCAGGCCATGTGCCCGGAGCTCAGCTCCTCGGAGGAGGACTCCTGCGTCGTCTCCTGCAGCACCGATGACGACTGCCCCCAAGGCATCAGATGCTGCCCCAGGAGCCCCTGCAGCCGCTCCTGCGTGTTCCCCGTCATGGGTAACAGTCACCCCTGTGCCCCACACCAGACCCTGTCTGGTGGAGGGAGGAACCGTCCACACCCCCTCTCAGTGGCCTGCCCCACAGCCCCCTAAACTCCACCAGGCAGTGACCCCAACCACCTGCTGGCCCAGCCACGGGGCTCTGCTCAGGGTCCCCTCCCTGAGGGCTCGGCTGCCGTCCAGGGTGCCACACAGTGGTGTGGGGGCCCCCACCGGGACCCAGCAGCAGGGTGGACCACTGGGACCTGAAGGGCTGGCCCATGTCTCCGCAGCACCTTTGCAAAAGGCTGGCCGCTGCCCCCGGGTACCCGTCCCGCTGGCCCCCGAGCCCTGCTCAGAGAGCACCGAGTGCTCTGTGGACAGCCAGTGTGCAGGGAGCAGGAAGTGTTGTTTCAGCACGTGCGCCATGCGGTGTCTGGACCCTGCGACAGGTGAGTGCCCCAGACCCGCCCCGAGGACACAGCCGCTGGCCCCTGGGGCTGCTGGGCAGACAAAGGCGGCTCAGAGACCTGGCTGGCAGGACTTGGGCCGGCCACCCGAGCAGGGTCTGTGCCTTGGTCACTTAATCTTGTAAGGAGACCTGGCTCGGGAGCTGGGAAATTGCTTCCTGGCTACCTGTGACCCCACCTTCCTGCCAGTGGGCTCTGGTGAGGGCCGGGAAGGGGTGGGTGTGGAAAGCTCGCTGGCCCACCTGCACACAGCGTCCATACCTCCCCTGCCCCCACCCTGCACCTCTGAGGCCTCCGTGTCCCCTGCAGAGGACCCCCTTCAGTGACGGGCTTCCCCAGGAGTCCCTGGCTGCCCGGAGTGACCCACCTGAGCCTGCCTGGCGAAAGCCTTCTCTCTCGGATCCAGAAAGCCCAAGATGTTTCCTACCTGCTGCTAATAAAACCCACTCAGCTTCATGTCTCTCTGTTGTCTATCTGTCACATGTCCCGGGCACCTCTGGGCGGGGGCGGCAGACAAAGCACACAGGCCTCTGGGAGCACCGGGCTGTCCACCGGCACTCAGGGCTCTGGCCCTCTGGGGTCTGGCCCCTTTGAGAGGCGTTGCTGGCGTGGGGACAGGAGGAGAGTGGAGTCTGCAGGGAGGGCTGGGGCTTGGAGGTTGCCACGGCCTCTCTCCACGGCTTGTGTGCAGCCCCCACCCACTTGGCAGTGTGTGCTTATGGGGAGCATAGACACTGCTCCCAGGAAGCTCTGTTTAGGACCTGCAGTGAAGCACGTGCACCCCACCCAACACCCAGCGGGCACCCCAGAGACCACTGCGGTTCTGATGTTAGGCCCCCCCAAGTTCCCACCAGGCTGCCAGCACCGCAGACACCTGCCCTGCACCCTGACTCACTTAGCTACCAGCCCTGGGGTCCGACAAACCCCAAGCTACCAGTCCGAGGATCCCACAAACCCCAAGCTACCAGTCCCGGGGGGGGGTCCCACGAATCCCAAACTACCAGTCCTGGGGGTCCCACGAACCCCAAGCTACCAGTCTTGGGGTCCCACAAACCCCACAGCTCCCATAAGTTGTGATAATGACCCACAGAACTCTAAAGGCACAACACTTCGGATCACACCCTGTGATAAAGGACACAGACCAACAAAGCCAAATAAAGGCCACACGTGGAAGGTGGGAGCAGAGATGCAGGAGCCTTTGTCCCCACTGGGCTGGGGCGTGCCACCTCCCAGCACGTCCACATGTCACCAACCAGGAAGCTCCCTGAGGTTTTCTCAAAGCTGCATTAGTAGGCATTTTGATGAAGCCGTTGTTGACCAGTTCAGTCCCCACGTAACCACATGGTTGGCTCCAGGCCACCAGCCTGTCCTGTGCCATGAGGGACCCCTACCCCAGAGTCACCGCATCTGTTTAAACTCAGGCGTGAGAAAGGAGTCCTTGCAAACAACACACGACACTTGCATCAGCCAGGAAACCACAAGGTGTTGAAGCACTGCTCCAGGAAGGGGACAGAGAGAGACCAGAGTTCCTCACCGTGCCCCCATGCACAGCCAGCCCAGGGGAGCACTTTCCCCCAGCCTGGCCCCAGGTCGCGCACGCTGAAGCCACCTGTCACATGCCAGACAACATGTTAGGAGCCAGGGAGACAGGACGGATCGTCCCAAATAAAAAGGGCTTTCACCAGTGGCTGAATATTGTTCCTGGACCATTCTCCAGCAAAAGGAAGCAGGATTCCTTGGAGACACCGTTGAGGGAACAAAGAACAAGGCCGTGGGGGACACAATGTGTCAGAAAGTGGGAGCCAACCTGCAGCCACCCCCAGACAACCTTGCCCCTCCCCTCAGCGCCACCAGCATACAGAGGAGAGGAGGCTCTTCTTAGCGGAAAATGTCAGTCAACACATCAGGGGGGAGAGAAGGACTAGAAACCCACCATTCCCAACTCCAAAGTAATCGTTCCTCCAGCCAAGCATCACCAGACGACCCAGATGACCAGAAACCCCTGCAGAAACATCACAGTCTCAAAGCAGCCCCACTATTCACAAGGGGGAGCTCCTCCCACAGCAGAGAGCTGGCCCCTAATTGAACCAAGGGATCAAACCCGGCATCCTAGGACCCACCATGGCTGTGAGTCCCCGTGCAACCCAAAGGGGTGGCCGTGCCAGAGAAATGCACCAACGGTCTTCGCGAGGATGCCGTCAGATGACCGCAGCTTCCATTCAGGGTTCCAGGGCGGGGGGGGCGGCCTGAGCCCAGCCTAGGCAGCTGGAACCACCCAGCTCACCCTTCCTCAAGCTCAGAGTGAACCACCCCCATGCTGGAGGACTCCTCCCCTGCAGAGAACGCCCATCCCCTCCATCCCTGCGTTAGCCCTACATCCAGCTTCCGTAAGCCTGGTGCCCTAACATCTGCCCCGCAGGCATACTAGGCACTGATGTCACGTTTGAGTCAACTTACCCACCCCACCCCCACCTCCCCCACAATTGCCCCAGGACTCCTCTCCTCCCATGGGGTAAGGGGAACACTTTTCAAATGCAAATCAAAGGATGCAGAGCCCATGCCCCAACCCCCTTCTCTCTGGGGTCTTACCATCCAGGCCACTATCCCCAGCCCTCCTCCCCTCCCAGGGGCAGCTGGGGGCAGCCCTGCCACAGCAGAGCATGCTAATTATTCACACTAGCCAGTCCTAAGCCCGCCTGCCCTCCCTTGTCTGGTGCTCCCCACAGAAACCACAGCAGAGGTCCGTACCACAGTGACCCCACCCCCGCCTCCTGACCAACACAGTGCTTCCCTGTGTGACCCTGAGAGGCATAGGCTGCCCTTGTCCCTGAAAACTGTGACTCGTACATTAGAGTCAACGGCAGTCCTCTCCTGATCTGTTGGCCTCACCAGACCCAGGACTTTCTGTTAATAAAGATATTTTAAAGACAATCGCTTTCAGGGACTGGAGGTCCATCTCAGAGAGGACCCGGGGGCGTGGGGAATTGTCTCCCCCTCCACCATCTCCCACCACGTGCTTACGGCAGCCAAGCCCAGAGCTCCCGGGCTCTACTAGGCTGATCTCCTGCCCAGGCCACTAAGCTCCATCCCCCCGAAGTGGACAAGATAGAGGAATGGACAAGGAAAAATGGAGGAGGAGTGATGATGGAGGAGGAGAAGGGATGATGGAGGAGGGATAATGGAGGGGGAAGAGGGATGATGAAGGATGATGGAGAAGAGATGATGGAGGAGGAGGAGGGATGATGCAGGAGGAGGGATGGAGGAGGAGGGGTGATGCAGGAGAAGGGAAAGACAAAGGAGAAGGGGGGATGTATCAGTCTGTGGGTTTTGGGGACCTGGCTGCTGGCAGGATTTGGGGTTTGGGAGGGCAGAGGGCTCATCATCCTTCCCCAGTTGGGAGGGAGCCTCCAGGCAGGATGGAGAGGCACTGGGAGTTCAGATGTCTGTAGGAACCCTGGGTGCTCACTCTCCAGGTGCCCTTGGGCAGTCCCCTCCCCGCCCTCCCTGGCCTCAGTTTTCCATACATGAAGAGCATGTGAGGGACAGGTTCATGTGCTGGGCAGAGCTGGGGCCAGGCTAACCAGCTCTGATTCCTCTTCTTCAGGGGTTCATGCAGGCCCTGAGGGAGGATCTTTCCCTGAGAGAGGAAAGCCCTTTGGTGGAGAGTCCCCAAGACTGTCCCCAGGCTCTGTGATTCTGCAAAGCTAAGACTTCTTACAGCAGGAGGAGAGAAGAGGAACGGGGGGGGGGGGGGGGGGGGGGGGGGGGGGGGGGGGTGAACTCTGGAGGAAAGCAGGCAGGAGCTTCCAGACATCTCTAGGGAACAGTCGCCCAGGAGGCGATGAATTCCGCAGTAACACGAGTGATGTGTCTGCCAGGAGGGGCTCAGTGCCCAGGGTTTCCCCCCAGGGCTGGGCTGGACGCGCTCCACCCAGAGTGTGCCAAAACCCAGCCCCGCAGAGGGCAAGCAGGTGCAGGACAGCCCCACGTCCCCAGGGAGGCCCAGGAAGGCCGCATCGTGTATGGCACCTCTAAGCAGTCATGTCTCCAGACGCCAGCCAACCCTAATGCCCCTGACCACCATCCGTCCGTCAGCAAGTGTGTTGGACGGAAGGACTGAGGTCTTCCCAGCAATCCCTCCTCTCCCTCAAGGGGAGACAAACCCATCTCAACCAGTGTTCCTGTGAGCCTGGTGCTGGGCCCACCAGGCTGGGAGGGGGCACCGGAAACGGTGGGTGGTTGGAGGTAAGGAGGAGGAACACAGAGGGGCTCTAACGGAGCAGAATCGGGAGGGAGACAAGAATGAACAAAACTGCCACTTCTTCCCCACATCCCCACATCTCCACATCCGATCCATCCGGCCTACTGCCTCTGGTGGCCCAGGCAATGCCATGCTTGAAGCTCAGGAACATGTTTGAACACATCCCGCAAAGTAAGATACTCTCCACCGGCCCACAAAACGGAGCCGCTACATTTCCCCACCCCCCACCTAAGCCAGGAGCTCCTCTCTGCAGAGTGTGGCCAAGGCATCTGGCCTGACCAAGAGTCTCAGAGTGTGGGGCTACCCTGCCAAAACCTGACCGTGGCCGCTCTAAATTAGCCCCCAGGCCCGACACTGCTCCCCCGAGAGTGAGGTCAGAGGCGGAGCTGAAACCACCTCTAGGGACCTCCTGTTTGCTCACTCATGGGAGAGGCTGCCATGTGGCACAGGGGCTCTCGGCGGGGATCTCCGGCCCCCAGCCGTTGCAGGGGAGGTGCCCCCCTCACAACGCCCACTAGCAACAGCGACAGGAACCCCAACAGAGGAAAGGTACATGCGTTCAAGCCTGAGACTGTCTGTTCCCCCACCCAGCCATCCTCCCCCCATCAGGTTCCCCAAACGTCGGCAGCTCTGGCCCAAGAGGAAAGAACTAACAAGATGGCAACTGTAGGTTCCCTAAAAACAGCCTGATGGTGAGGTTCACTGCCAGCAAGTCCTCTTAATGGCCCGCCACTTTTTTTTTAAGGTACCAACTTTACTGAGATACAACTTACATGACGGATATTTACCCCTTAACGTGTAGAACCCAGCGGCTCCCCATACCTTCACAGTTAATCGTGCAACCACCCAATCCCAGAATATTTCCAGCACCCCAAACAAATCCCAGACCCATTCGCCACTCCCCATCTTACCCAACGTCCACAGCCCCCTGGAAACCACTAATTGACCTCCAGCTCTGTGGACTTGCCTCTCGGGGACACTGCACACAAATGGAATCACACAGGGAGTAGGTCGTCTGGATTCCTTCATCAAGTGTAATGTTTTCAAGGTTCTTCTAGGTTAACTTGGGCTGACTGATATCCCACGGTGGATATACCGCATCGTGTTTGTTCACGCATCTATCGGTTAGCATTTGGATTGTGCCTGTATTTTGACTTTTATGGAAAACGCTTCTGTGAACATTTGCGTACAAGTTTTTGCACTGACGTGTTTTCAGTTATCTGTGGTATACACCTAAGTGACACACAGCAATTCTCTGACAAGAAACTGCTAAGCTGTCTTCCAAAGCAGCCATGCCATTTCACATGCCCCCCAACACTGCCTCAGCGTTCTGATCTCTCTACATCATCGCCATCGCTTGGTATTTTTTGGGCTTTCCTGTTGTTCTAATTGCAGCCATCCAAAGTGGGTGTGAAGGGGCCCCTCATCATGGTTCTGATTTGCATCTTCCTGATGGATAGGGATGCTGAGCAGTGTCCACATGCTCCCCGGACTTCCGTGTATCTTCTTTGGAGAAACGTCTACTCAGATTCTTTGAGCGGTTCTTACATGGGCAATTGTCTCCTACTGTCACATTGTAAGGGTTCTTTCCTCAACATCATCGTTTTGAGACTCACCCAAGTCCTTGCCAGCACAGGTGTTCATCGCTTTTTCTTTTTTCTTTTAATTTTTTTTTTAACGCTTATTCATTGTTGAGAGACAGTGCGAGCAGGGGAGGGGCAGAGAGAGAGAGAGGGAGGGAGACCCAGAATCCAAAGCAGGCTCCAGGCTCTGAGCTGTCAGCAGAGCCCGAGATGGGGCTTGAACCCACAAACTGTGAGATCATGACCTGAGCTGAAGTCAGACACTCAACTGACTAAGCCACCCAGGCACCCCTCATTGCTTTTTCTTAATATTCACTTTTTTAGAGCGATTTTAGGTTCACAGCAAAACTGAGTGCAAAATACAGTGAAATCTACCTCTTGTCCCCTCCGCACACCTAGTCTCAACATCCCCCACCAAAAGTACATTTGCTGTGATCCATGAACCCATCATGACTCATCACGACCACCAAACCCTACAATTCACATTACGGTTCACTCTTGGAGTATACATTCTATGGGTTTGGACAAAGCTGTAATAGCCCATCCATCACAGTATCACGTGAATAGTTTCATTGCCCCAAAAACCCTCTGTGCTCAGCCCATTCATCCTTCCCCATTCATCCTTCCCATCCTTCCTAACCCTTGGCAACCGCTGGCCTCTCTACTGTCTCCACAGCTTTGCCTTTTCCAGAATGTCATGTCCTTGGAATCACCCAGTGCACAAACTTTTCAAATTGGCTTCTATCACTTAGTAACATGCATTTAAGGTTCCTCCATGTCCTTTCATGGCTTGATGGCGCCTTTCTTTTCGCCACTAAATAATAGCCCATCATCTGGACGCACCACAGCTCATTTATCCATCCGCCTCCTGAAGGACACCTTGGTTGCTTCCAGGTCCTGGGAATTATGACTGAAGCTGCTGTAAACACCGTGTGCAGGCTTCTGTGTGGATATGTTTTCACCTCCCCCAGGTGAACCACGGATCAAGGTTGCCAGACTGCACGGTATCCTTTCAGACTGCAGTCACAAAATACCATAAATTTTGTGACTTACAAACAACAGAAACCTGTTTCTCACACTTCTGGAGGCTGGAACTCTGAGGTCAGGGTGCCGGCACGGTGGAGGGGGGCTGTCTGTCCTGTAGTATAGACTTCTCGCTGGGTTCTCACGTGGTGGAACAGCCAGGGGCTCTCTGGGGTTTCTTCTGAAGCCTCCACTCTCATGACCCAGTGACCTCCCAAACACCCCACCTCCTAGCACTGTCATTAGCTTCCACGTATGAACCTGGAGGACAGAAAACATTCAGCCCATTGGACAGTAAGAGTATGCTTAGTTTTGTAAAAAAACAAACAAAACAAAAACTAGTAAACTTCAAAAGTGATGGCACCATGTTGCAGTTCCAACCAGCACAGATGAGAGCTCCTTCTCCGCCACCCTTACATCTGAGAACAGAAACCAAAACAGTACGAACAATAACAGCAAGAGGAAAAAAATAACAGCAAGTAAACAGGGAGAAGAAAAACTCAGGGGGGAAACCCCTATCATCGAAATCCTTACAGGGGTAAGACAAAAGATCGCAATA